TGCGCACATATATATTATGTCAATTAACCAACAAAGATATACTGGATTTTCCTGGAAACGTCAGTCTCAGACATATGAATCAAATATTTCAATGCCTTTATTCACCAAAACCAAGGATCAGAAATAAGACAACATATACCTTTAGCATATCACAATAAAGTTCTAGATTCAAAGATAATGACCTCAGCAGATAGTTTATGTTATAATAAAAATGTTCCAGCATAGTTACTTACAGAATTTTGAGGATTTAGTTTCATTTTCATTCCTCGTATAATCTCAAAATCTTTTAGAGTTCTGTAAAACAGGTTTGTCATTAATTGTTAGGACAAAATTTTAGTAAGTATGTTACAAAAAACTAGTTTGCTTATGTTAGATTCCAATATTAATGATAAAATTGGAATTTGTGGTGCAAATATAAAGAAATGAGTATTACATGTGTTAAAAGAGAAAGTAATATATATCTATCAATAAATGATGGCAATTGGCAATTTCTATCTTAAAAAAGCATCCTGACATATACATGTCTTTTTTTAAATATATATTTTTTATTGGTTTCAGAGAGGAAGAGAGACAGGGAGACAGACAGAAATATCAATGACTGGAGACAATCACTGATCTGCTGCCGCCTGCACACCCCCTACTGGGGATGGAGTCCACAACCCAGGCATGTGCCCTCATCAGGAATCAAGACCTGACCTCCAGGTCGATGCTAAACCACTGAGCCACACCAGTCGGGCCCGACAGATACACGTCTTAAAAGTACTAAAGCATGGAAAAATTAGCAATGTAATAGAAACATAAAAAAATATTAATTGTAAATTTTAAATCTCTACTTTTTTGTTATACCTTAAAAAGGTAAGAACTAACATATTACTTTCTGTAAAAGAATATTAGCATAAGATTATATTTAAGATTACTACTTATAATTTTTCCTCTACAGAAAAACACTGGCTGGACAAAATATCAAATGCATGCTTAATGTGTGTGGAATATGAAGTTTCTGTTAGAATTAATTCCTATATATAATTAAAAATCTGAGGATGTTTGCTTAAATATAATCTACTAGGTGTACCAGTTAATAATGCAGGTTTTGTAATCAAAGAAAAACCATAATTTCAAGAGAAACATCAAAAGTGCTTTATTCAAAGTAATGTCCACATTTCCCCCATTTTTCAGGAAATTTGTGGATACTGTCCCAATAGAACTTTTCTCATTTTGAGGCAAACCATTCAGAGACACAATTTTCCACTTCTTTGTACATTTAGAAGTGCTGCTCAGAAAGTGCATATGCCATCGATCGAAACAAGTAGTAATCTGAAGGAGAAAGGTCGGGTGAATACAGTGGGTGGGTTAATACTTCCCAGGCAAGATCTTTTAATGTGTCTTTATCTGGTTTTGAAGTGTGTGATGGTGCGTCATCATGAAGCAAAATTACTTTGCCTTGTCTTCTGGAACATTCTGGTTGTTTCACGATCAGAGCGTGGTTCAAATTGATTATTTGTTGTTGGTAGCGATCAGTATTAACGGTTTTACCTGGTTTTAGAAGCTCATAATACACCACACCTTCCTGATCCCACCAAATGCAGAGCGCCTTGCAGTTGATGTTGATGGTTGACCTGGATCAACCCATGATTTTGTGAATTTGGGATTCTCAAAATAAATCCACTTTTCATCACCAGTCACAATTCAATGCAAAAAAGACTTTCTTTCTTGCCATTGAAGCAACATTTTACTGATGACTTTTCGGTTTTCCATTTGTCTTTTGTTCAGCTGACATGGCACCCATTTTCCTTCCTTTAAAATCTTTCCCATTGCTTGTAAACGATCAGAAATTGTTTGATGAGCAACGTTTAATCTTTCTGCAAGTTGTTTTTGAGTTTGACACACATCTTCATCCAATAATGCTTGTAATTGTTGGTCTTCAAACTTTTTCAGTTGACCTGGATGTTTTTTGTCTTTCACATCGAAATCATCACTTTTAAAGCATTTAAACCAGAGTTCACAAGTATCTTGAGATGGAACATGTTCACCATAAACTTCCCATAAGCTTCAGCAGCACTTCTCTTCAAAATAAAGTAATAAATTAAAACTTCCCGCAAATGCTCTTTTTTTGGCATGAAATTTGACATTTTTAAGCATAAAAATATCTATGATGTTAACACCTTCAGAAAATTTGACATAGGAAGAAGTTTTGAAGCTTGTTGTCAATACAACAAAATAGCATACATATCAAATCGCATATATATCAACATATGTGTAACTCCATCTATTGAAAAAAATCCGTACTAACTGGTACACCTAGTAATCTACATATTAGTGGGGAAAGAATATTAACACTTATCCAACAAAGCAAAGTAGAATAAATTCTCAAATAACTGCATTATTAACACTTCGTCTTCATTATATCAAATCCACAGTGGTTCACTGGCTTAAAAGAAAAGTTTAGAATTTATAAATATAATCCAAATTAGAGAGGATTGGGTTCTAAGGCATGAATTTATAATAGAAAATGGATATTTGAGCTAAAACTTAACATACTGGTATAGTAAAAAAGGCAAATAAAATATTATTTTATTTTATTTTTTAAATATATTTTTATTGATTTCAGAGAGGAAGGAATGATTAGAGAGAATCATTGATTGGCTGCCTCCTGCATGCAACCTACTGGGGATCGAGCCTGCAACCGGGCATGTGCCCTTTACTGGAATCAAATACGGGACCCTTCAGTCTGTAGGCCAATGCTCTACCTGTTGGGGTCCAACCCCAACGGGTCCAGGGATCCCCAAAGGTGTGGACGGAGTCGGCGAAGAATGAATGACATGGAAACTGGGTTCAGTTCATCAGCATAGCAAGGTTCTCCCTCCAGGATCTCCAGCGAAGTTCTGGTCAGGATCTCCAACCAAGTTCTGGTGCCATGTTCTCTCGCTAGGTTCTCCAGCCAGGTTCTCCAGCCAGGTTCAGTCACCAGGTTCTTTAGCCAGGTTCTATCCAGGTTCTTTTGCCAAGTTCTGTCTAGGTTCTCCAGTGAAGTTCTGTAGCCAGGTTCTGTCCAGGATCTTTTGCTATGTTCTCTGGCTAGGTTCTGGTTAGGATCTGATGAGGATCTCATGTTTATTGTCTTGTTACATCCCTATTTATACCAGCCGATTTTAATCCTGTCAATTTCTATTACAAAGGTTAGGGCGTTTCTTATCTCCATCCCAGGGAGTAAAGATTATGTAGCTTAACTACCCGCCTGGCACTTAATTAAGGGGTTGTATCCCCTCCCTAACCTCAGGGAAAAATCCCCACCTGGGGAAACAACCTTTCTCAGAGAGGTGACCTTGGTTAAAACACATGGCACTAAGGAGAGCAAACATATTAAAAACAATATGCTATATACGCCAGGTCCCTTGAAACATATGCTGTGCAGACGTTTCTTCTCTGCAGCGACTGTGTCAAGCAGCAAGGATGGACCGGCTCCCGGCATCTACCCACTAAGCCAAACCAGCTAGGGCAGCAAATAAAATTTTAGGCAGCATTATAAGAAAGAAATGAGAAAATATGACCCTCTTTCCTCTTTCTTTTTTATTAAATTTACTAGAGGCCTGGTGCATGAATTCATGCACCAGTGGGGTCCCTCAGCCTGGCCTGCAGGATCGGGTTGAAATCAGCTCTCTGACATCCTGCGAGGGATTCCGGATTGCAAGAGGGCGCAGGCCAGGCCAAGGGACCCCACCAGAGCACGATCGGGGCCAGGGAGGGACGAGGGAGGTTGGCCAGCTAGGGAGGGACCGTGGGAGGGCTCCAGGGCATGTCTAGTCCATCTCTCTCAGTTCCAATCAGCCAGACCCCGGCAGCAAGCTAACCTACTGGTCAGAGCGTCTGCCCCCTGGTGGTCACTGCATGTAATAGAGAGGGGTTGAGCAGCCTTATCATATCATTAGCATATTACGCTTTGATTGGTTGAACAGCCGACCAGTCGACCAGACACTTAGCATATGAGGCTTTTATTATATAGGATTGGGGTGACAATGGTTAATAAAATTATATAGGTTTCAAGTGTACAATTCTATAGGTCATCTGTATATTGTATTGTGTGTTTGCTGTTACCCAAAATCAAATCTCCTTCCATCACCATATATTTAACCTCCTTTACCCTCTACTACCGCCCCCTTTCCCTCTGGTAACCACCATACTGTTTTCTACGTCTATGAATTTTTGTTTGTCTTGTTTGTTTATTTGTTGTTTTCAGTTTTATATCCTACATGAGTGAAATCACATGGTTCATGACTTTTTCTGGAACATGACCCTCTTTTACAAACCATGATCTGCCTCTTCCTGGAATCCTAGGTATCTGACGCCTAATGGAATTCTGCCTCCCTCTCAACAAAGCACTAGAAGAGTGCTAGTGAAGGACAAGTGGCATGATCAAAGAAACTGGGCATTGGGAAGAAGGGAAGGCAAGAATATAACAAAGGGACTTATAGTAGAGAGAAAAACACTTCAGCTTGAAATTACAAATGGTGAAGCAGAGCATTCTTGAAATACACAAAATCAAAATACAGATCAATTTACCACATCTGCTGCCAATATTTAAACCAAAGGAAGAAAAATACTATTTTTTAAACTTGTCATAAAATTGATGGTAAAAACTACAATATATAGTTTCAAAAACATTTGGAAATTTTTTGTTTGTTTTTTATTTATTTTTTTAAATTTACTTTTATTTTTTTTTAAATAATTTTTTAAAATATATTTTATTAATTTTTTACAGAGAGGAAGGGAGAGGGATAGAGAGTTAGAAACATCGATGAGAGAGAAACATCGATCAGCTGCCTCCTGCACACGCCCCACTAGGTATGTGCCCGCAACCAAGGTACATGCCCTTGACCGGAATCGAACCTGGGACCCTTGCATCTGCAGGCCGATGCTCTATCCACTGAGCCAAACCGGTTAGGGCTTTTGTTTGTTTTTTAATCCTCACCTGAGGATATTTTTCCATTGATTTTTAGAAATAGTGGAGAGAGAGGGAAAGACAGAGAGAAATAGCGCTGTAAGGGAAACACATCGATTGCTTGCCTCCTGCATGAGCCAGACAAGGCCTGGGCCGGGGAGGAGCTTGCAATGGAGGTACATGCCCTTGACCAGAATTGAAACTGGGACCCTTCGGCTCTATCCACTCAGCCAAACCAGCTAGGGCTGGAAATTTTTAAGTTACACATCAATGATTTCCTAAAGACAAATAATTAAACAAAGGGGATGGCCTAAGTTTTCAAGGTTGTCATCTTAGGAAGACAACTATGTGCTTTCAAAGTATATCTCATAGTTCAATTAACCTCCTACTCAATAGTCCAGAGATCTGACCCAATATTCCAATACTTATATTCTTAATAGGTAACTTGCTCATTTTTCATAAATTAAGTCTTAAAAAAAAACACAAAAAAATAAATAACATATATTCTAAAGAGTAGAATAAAAACGAACCTTTCTGAAAGTTTGTCCGATAGTTTCTCAAGGAACTCCATGACAGTTTCTAAAAATAAAATCCAAAAGAAAATATCTTTACCACTACATAAAAAAATGAGCATACTTGTTAAAATTATAATGTGTCATTATTATACACTACTATACCTTAAAGTGATGATTTTCAAAGGAGAAGCAGGATTGCAACATATTCTAGGCACATAATAAATATTTCTAAATAATTATAATTTCTTTATCAGTAAAACAAGTTCAACTGGCATAGTAATAATCCAAAACCTTAGATTATACCCACAAATGAAGAGTTAATAGGAAGCTAAGGAAAATATTTAAAATTTCAGTGTTTCTATCTATTCATGTGTAAGAAAAAATACTTAGACATGTCTAATTTTTTTGTTTGTTTTAAAGAGACAGCTAAACTGATATGTTGATAAAAAATTAGTAAAATATAGAAGTATGATTCACTGCAAATTAGATTTTAAAAATCAATGTTTTTCAGGGTATTTATTTTTTATATACAGCTGCAGAATATTCTATTCAGATTCAATAACAAAAGAATATATAGCAAAATTAGAACATTAAAATTTAAAGCTGTGAGAATTTTTACAAAATACTTAAAATACTATAACTGTAAATCTTTATATTTTACAAGCTCATAAAGACCATCCTATCTAATAAAAGAGAAACATGGTAATTAGCCATACCTCCGACATGCTTCCCATTGGCTAATCAGGGCGATATGCAAATTAACTGCCAGCCAAGATGGCAGCCGGCAGCCAGGCACTGAAGCGAACAGGAGGCTTGCTTGCTCCAGTGACGGAGGAAGCCAATGTTCCCCGCCTGCCGCTGCTGGGCTCTGAATTTGCTCTCTAAGAAACATTGTTGCAAATATAGAAGCTAAACAAAACTCCAGAAACCTGCTTTCAGTCAGCCGGGATCTCAGAGCTGGAGTCGCAACAAAGTTTCAAATACAGAAGGTAAACAAAGGCCAGAAACCTGCTTTCAGCAGTCGGGGTCTGAGCTAAAGCCGGCTCTCAGCTCCAGTGACAGCCATAGAAGGTAAATAACTCCCAGAATAAAAAAAAAAGAAAAAAAAGGAGAGGTTGGGAGCTTCAGTCACCCACCAGCCTGAAAACGGCCCTCAGCCCCTCATCCAGGCTGGCCAGGCACCCCAGTGGGGACCCCCACCCTGAAGGGGGTGTGACCAGCTGCAAACAGCCATCATCCCCTCATCTAGGCTGGCCAGGCACCCAAGCGGGACCCCCACCCTGATCCAGGACACCCTTCAGG